CGCCGTTCTCGGTGTCCCCCGTCCCGCCGCCCCCGCCCCCTGTGTCCCCCAGGTTTTCCCCGCGGTGTTCCCCGGAGCACACCTGTCTCAGCGGGGATGGGAAGACGCCACCCCCGCACACACCTCCCCGTGCCCGGGCAAGCCCTCCCGGTCCCGCTCGGGGGCAGGAGGACGGGCAGMGGGAGCGGGCACCGAGGCGCTTTCCGTGCGGAAAGAACCGCGGGGCGCTGGCGGCGGAGTGCCACCGGCCCGAAAATAACGTGGAAGAGCCGTGGGAAACCCCACGTCTCCCGGAGCTAGGAGATCACGGCAGRCCCGCACGTTCTCAAGCAGGGAGTACGGCTTCTTTCTCCCAAAAGTACACAGTCTTCCGGGAAAAAGCATCTACCGARCCTAGCAGCAGCATCCCTCTCGCAGCCCCCCAGCTTCCTGGCGTCGGGCACCCGGCCGCCCCTGGCTCATCCAAGGGAGCCCCTTCTCGGGCTGCGAACGGYAGAGATACAGGAACCGCTGCTAAGAAAACAGGGACAACCAGATTCTAGCAGAGGGACTTTGCTTGAGAAGTCACTTAAAACTGGTGCCCGACAGCCTTCAAAAATGATGTTTTAAAGCCTGGTAAAGTTTATATAAACTGATCGCTTCTCTTAGCTTGCTGGATGAAGGTTTTAACAGGAGATGGCAATAGATTATATCCACTCTAAGGAAAAGGGAGTTCTCTCAGGCAGCCAGCGTCTCTCCCTTGCAGTGTCAGGCAACACAAGGGAAGGAAAARCTATGCTTTTATTCAGAGCTGCCTCATAATCTTGAGCCTTCTTTTTCCATCATACATGTTCGATTTCACTCATCAGGAGGGGCAGGGTAAAGGAGACAGGGCAGTGAAACAAGGTACACATTAAGTATGGGTGTCTGAAGATGAAAACTGGTAATGTGAGAAAGGAAACCATAGGTAGTGGAGACCAAGTCTCCAGAACCCACTGAAGAAATGTGCCAATACATTTACATCAGCCTCCATTTGGACTCACCCCAAACCTACATGCAACACAATTTAAAGGAATGTGTGGATCACCTTGACAGTGTTTGCACATGGGAGAAAAAAGGAACACAAATTCCTTCTGCCAAGTAAGTGCAGCTCAAAAAAAAAATCAAACTGTGCTTTCTGGAAATACTGTAGTAATTTGGACTATGCCCTATGCCTAAGTGTGTCCTCTCACAGAAATAATTTTGTCACCTCACCAGTGAAATTATCACTAGAGAAGTGAATCTCTGAAATTGCAGAGTATCTGGCTGTAAAACTGCTTTGAGGGCTAAATACTTCCCTGACTGAAACAAAAACAAAGGTATCAGAAACATACAAATTTTAAGACTATTTCACTTGTAAGTACTGTAGAATGATCATCCTGACCATCAGTCCAACTGCCTGACCAGTTCAGGGCTGACCAAATATTAAATCATGTTGTTAAGGGCMTTGTCCAAATGCCTCTTWAACAATGACAAGCTTGGGAYATCGACCACCTCTCTAGGAAGCCTGTTCCAATGTTTGCCTGTGTGGTAAAGAAATGCTCCCTAATGTCCAGTCTAAACCTCCTGTGGTGCATCTTTGAACCCTTCCCATGATCASTGGATCCCAAGCAGAAGAGATCAGCACATCCCTATCCACTTGCCCTCCTTAGGAAGCAGCGGAAAGCGATAAGGTCACCCCTCATCTCCTTTGCTCCGAACCAAACAAGCCCCAAGTCCTCAGCCTCTCCTCACAGGACATCCCCTAGCCCTTTCCCCAGCTTTGAGGCACGCTTCTGGATGCATTCAAGCACCTTCACATCCTTCTTACCTTGTGGGCCCAGAACTGAATGGAGTACTCGAGGAGAGGCTGCACCAATACTCAGTTTGGAAAGCCAAGTGTTCAAGCACCAAATCCTGTATTTTGGAACTCACCCGTGCTGTAAGGGCAGCTTCTCYTGCAACATCTTTTATGGCACCCCTAATTTTAATCTTGTCTATTGACAGCAAAGGGACATGGAGGGGAAGCTGTTGTCCCTTGCCAGACCATCCCTTTATCAATATGGATTCAGGCCAGGTTCAGTAYCTGTCTCCCACTGCCTCTTCACAACTCCAGTTATAAAAAATGTGTTCTCCTGCTCTTCACTGGGGAGGAATTGAATAAAGCAACGGGGAGACATCACCTGAGGTGACATTTCAGTGAAGGTACATCCCCGACACAGGCTGTTTATGTGTCCAGAGGGAACAGTGGCTGCTCACTCAGAGTTTGTTCGCTGACTCTCTATTAAAGAGTTTTTCCTGGCAGCAGGGCACAGACCATAGCAATGGATGGCTCTGTAGTTCGTTACCCTAATGAGATGATTATGATACCGTAACTCTCATCTTTTRATGGAAATTATGCTCAGCTCAGCATTTCACCTAGGTACAACGACACGGGTACCTGTTCCTCGTTGAGAGGAAAAAAACACTGGCAGCAAATTGGTGTGTTCCTAAGGGCAGGTTTTTTTTTTAAGTGGCTTCTTGGATGGGATGGTAAAGATCTATATACAATGTTTAATGGAAAATTTGCTTTAATTAGAGTCTAACGCAACCATGAGGTCTATCAAGGAAGAATTGTGCAGAGCTGCATCCATTCCCCATCCTGTGACCCCAAGCACAGCTGAGCAGCACTACTGACAGGCACAGTACACCCTGCCTATGCAGCAAAATTTGAGGCCAACACTGCACTTGGCTAGAAAAAAAGAGATCACTTCATCACTGACACATACTCTGCACAAGCAGACACAAAGAATAATTTAAAATAGCTTTCCTTTATGAAAATGCAGATCTAATGGGACGTACAGCTAGGAAAAGTTACATAATATAGTCTCTATAAGTACAGGGGGAAAATGTGACCATCACCCAGTATTCACACTTGAAATAAACCATGATTATGATACTTTTTGTAGAAAATACTCTCAGTATCTTTCAYGGCATTTCCTTTTTGAACAACATTTTTTAATTGGGGAAGAGAACACAAGAATATAGTCAAAGATACTGTGTGCAATTAATTTAATAGTATTATAGAACAACAAATCCACACCTTTAGAACTTGATTAATCAGTATGTTTCTTGAACCAAAGAGAAACTCAGACTCAATAAAACAAAATCTTTCACAGGCGCAAGTTTGAAAGCAGAACACATTAAATATTTTAAGATTGTTGTTGTTAACTGTTTCAGCAAATTAAAAAAAAAAGATTGGAAGCTAGTATTTTGGTCATAAAATAAGAAGTATTTCTTCAAAACAACTATAGCAAATATTCCCTGAGAATTAGCAACAACTATTGCCAAATTGTTTTTTTTCTGTTACAGTGCAGAAATGTTACAGCACATTYTCTCCATTCAAAGATCACACAGGAAGATTAAAGGCCACAGTTTTTATTTACTATGCACATCTTCTGGATGTGCTCATCTTTCAAGAGAATTAAATCTGAATACAGCAACCCTCGGCACTGAAGCTAACCGGGACATGAAGGGAGAGAAGGCAGTTGAGGAAAGGTTTAATCCATGTGCTGAGTGTGCATGTTCAGAATTCCTAATTCCCCCCATGCACTAGATCTGCTAAATTTGCCCTTCYAACTTATACACTATGGCAGCATTCTAGAAAATCCCACTCCCTCTGTCTTTCCAGAAACATGCGTATAAAATACACACCTGCCATCAAAATGTTCCACTCAGACAAGTAACTTGTAATCGAAGCAGAAAAGGGAGATAAAACAGAAGAGTGGAAGAACTATTGAAGTTGAAATAATCAATTTTAATGCCTAAAATTAGATTTTAYGGCCCATGGTACTGCTGAAAGCTGCATGCAGCACAGCTTTATTGTTGCATTATTCCTCAGCACATAGAATTAAGGTGCAGTAAATGTTTGGGATTTGGTACAGCACACTGTCATAAAAAGCGATACAATCTATTTTTTGTTATTAATTCAGCTCAAAACGATAGCATTCTGGGGCCAGTTTGCATTGACCAAGAAAAGTAAAAGATCCTACTGGGATCCAAATTATCACGCTGTAGAAGAAATTTTCTTCCTGTCCTGCCCTATATACCACATCAATATATGCATGTCTCCCTGTACCTGCCTGTTAGTTCCCTGGCTCTTTCTGCAAGATAGAACAACCATTCTTTTCTTTCAACTTGCAGGTCTTAGCTCAGCTGAATTCTTTCCTTCATTGCTTCAAAGCATCCAGCAGATCTGGCAGTGTCTGCTGTTGGTTGATCTATGAGCACTGCATCCCAGAAGGGTACATTTATTAACAGCAGACTATGAAAACCTGACCAAAGATCCGCAAAGACCCAACCTGCAAAGAGTCTTTTGATGGTAACRGTAATTGAGATGGCTTAACAGCAGAAAGGAGACAGCCTTAAGAAGGTTAAAACAAAAAAGGCTAGCAGGAAACCAGGTGAGAAGCCTAAMACATACCAATGAATGCTGCAGTACTATGACAGTTGGATCCTAAAAGAGTATTCAAAGGTGTCTGGGAAAGCATAACAACTGAACATCTCTACTTAACCCAGAAAACTCAGACGAAAGTACCAGCATGTGSGCTGAGGGGTCAAAGGGGGAATGCAAAGTATTCAACATGCCTAGAACATGTTGAATATATTCTAGCAACCACAATAGTTTGGCCATGCTGGAACTGCTATGCTTATGTCATGCAATTAATCTGCATGTATATAGGTTCAACTGGTCTGGACATCAGTTTTCACTTTGGCCAGGCTGTGAGAGATCCACAAACACTGGATATATGGCCACATTCCTCTTCTGTTTCTTGGAAAACTTTCTAAGTTAAAATAGAAGACAAGTCTAACAGAAAAGATGGTTGCCCTGTATCTAAATCTTGAGGACTTTGATCCAATTAGTTGTGCATATATTTCATCTTTTCATAACCATCTTCTCTATTATCAGAGAATCTTTCTACATAACTTCATCAACTGTTTTACTCAAGGAGATCTAAAGGAAAAAATACATGAAAATAATCTTTACCATCTTTGTGAAGCGGCAATCAAAAAGGTCAAATAAATCAGCTAGCTATAAACTATGACATTTACTGTCGATCAAGAGCATCATATTGTGAAAGGAAATAATGCAATGTGACTCACAGCAAAATATATAAATGCATCTGAGTGATACAAACTTCAGTTGACATTACAGTACTTTACAGTAAAGAGCCTTTATTTTCTTTTCCTTTCCTGTCTTTTCTTTTCTACAGTGACATTACCTCAAAATACACTGCCAGTTATTTTATAAGGAACAGGAAGATTCAGGCTTCTGCTCTCACCATTAGCCAGAAAGATCACAAACTCGTGTTGGTGATTCAGCTCTGAAGACACCACTCCAATCTGCTRTGGCTGCTCCTCAGCCATCGAGTAGCTGTTGAACATTTTGCAAGTTCAAGTATGACCTGTACAGTAAACCAAACCCCRAAGTCTCCACATGTTCAAGTGCACAACACCCCATTCAAGCAGTCTGACTTAGAAAGAGACACTAAGATTAGTTGATACTTCAGCACAAGTCTGATTGTGGGGGAAGACAGAAAGGTTCCTGGCATGTCAGATCATCTTCTCTTCTAAACAGGAACTGCCAGACACGATGGAGTATAGATCTTGACTAGTTCATCCCAAGCACAGTCCACCACCTATAAAGCAAACAAAATCTATTTAGATCCTTCATAAGTGTCAAAAAAAACAGGGAACTTAATGCATATTGTGGATTTAATATCTGTCAGTACTCTGACTTACAATGCTTCAMAGTTGTATGATAATGAAATTGGTTTTGTTTTTGTTTCTTTTAACCTTAACCTTACTGAAAAACATGAAAATTAACAACCTCCTATTTTTCATGCTCCCCATGAGGAAAGCAGGGAAAACTTTGGGTTTCAAGTGATTGTTCCAAATAGGCAAAAGAATGTAACTGGAAATTAAATTAGAGAAGAACATCATARAAGTCCAGGCCTTGTTTTTGCTTTTTACAGAGTCTTAGGATCCTTCTACCATAATATCAAAACACTTCATGACCAGATCTGAACAACTTCCTTTTGCTTGCAGGTACAGAAATTTGTTATAGACATTTTCCTAATGTTCACTGCTGGAAAACCAAAAAGTTCAGAAAAATTATATAGGAAGTTTCCTGAAGAATTAAGTCAGAATTTGAGTCTCACACTTGATAAGCTATGAGATCACTYTGTTGTCGAGAAGAGAGATGTCCGTTTACTGAGCTATGAGATTAGGGAGCTGTAGTGTTGCTTCAAGCACTACCTAGACCCCACTAGMCTGTTAAGAAGTGGTACCACTTGTGGCAAAGGCATCTTAAAATATAACTGAAACTTTTCTGAATTCAAAGTCCCAAGTTCTATTCTAGATGAAGGCTTAAAACCAGAAAACCAGAATGTTAACCTAAGTTGATAGSATTAAAAGACTTTAATAAATAACAAGATTCCAAGGAGGTAGACTACAGAATGCTTTAGGTTTGAAAATCAATTTAAAATGCACTTCAGAGTCTCTAACAAAGTGAAAGGGTTAACCACACTGAAGGGAWCCTATCACATACATTCACAAAATATTGCAGGAGACAAGGCAAACAGAARAAAGAGGAGAGCTAAAGAGAAAACRCTGATGAGGTCCACAAATAAACACCAGTAAATCTGGCAGAATCCATATTGCATTATCTTTACAATGTCATTTCCAGTTGGGATCACAAAAGATACAGTACTGGACCTCTGCACAACAAGCTTCCTTCTGCTGCAGACTGCAATTCATTTTCTCTTCTAGAGCCAGAATGAACAGCTGCACACTAAAAATTTGGAAATCCAACTACAGTGTTTGATTTCAGACTATAATTAGTCCATTTTGCGTTTACTATACTGAACTATTATTCATATTTTATTGCTTCCTTAGCTGGTTCTACTTAGTTATTTGAAGTGCTTTCCATATACATCTAAATGGGTCAAAAAAACTCTTGACAACACGTCTGTCTATTCATACGACATAATAGAGCTTTCTGTAGCATAATGTTCTGCTGCATTGCAGTCTCCCAAATCACACCAAAAGGAAAATTTGAGTTTTCCACTAAACACTGTGGAAACCGGCAATCATATAAACKGCAGGTTTTTTTACTATTCTCCACAGCTATAGATCAATGTTCTGTAGGCAATACTTTCTACTTTTGTAAAGAAACTAGAAACAGAAATAACATTTGGAAAAAATCCCATGGGAATTCCCACCTGTTATCAATGTAATTACCACCCCTGAAATTTCCTCTGAATAAATACAGTTATAGAACCATTTAATCTAGCAACACTAAAAATAAACAGGGGATATTAAAAGAGTTTGAAAAGGATCACTTTCAATAGGTTGCCCAGCTCATTGACTTAATGATACCACATGAAAGGAGAAAGTACAGCCAGCCAACAAAAGGAAAACAAAAGCTACAGTAAGTAAGAGTGAATAAAGTTCTCTGGTGCAGCAGGAAGTCTGTAATGAAATCCTGATATTGGAAATCTTGAGGAAAATACACATGCAAAGTACAGCAAACAGGTATCTACAGGAAACTAGAACACATCAGCATGGAAGAGCATTAAAAATGAAATAGCATATTTTCTCCAAAATACAGCCAAGGGGGCAGAGAAWGGGGGCAACTATAAGCTCAGAGTGCAGCAGCCAGCATTCACTGATGGACAGCTGGTACATGCCCCTTTGCAGTAGCTCAGAGACTGTCACTGCTTCAAATACAAAAGACTAAGATGATCCTAAGATAAAGAGAAGGACCTGTTCATGCAGCTACTGTATCGGTTTACAAAACGTCTTCTCCTTGCATTTTGCCTTTTATCTTGTGACCTGTTKTATACTGTGGTCTTATGAGAGTTTAGTGTCTTTCCTCAGAAGAGGGAAACATGGGATATTGACTTTAAGTGCTTTAAAAGTATTCAAAAATGTCAGTTCTCATGTGACATGTGACCATTTTTAATACATACTTTTAAGCACTTTAGCCTTTATTTCAAAATAAACTAACTGCTACCTAATTTAAATATTAAAATAGAGGCAGATTTCATTGGGATGAGGGTTCATCCAGCATTCCACAGTAAATAAATATAGCATTAAAAAAACTTCAAGTTCCTAGGGTTCATATCTTGATCAATGAGATATTACTGACAGGTGGAGAAAATCCTCGTAGTAGGATGAAGACAGAGGAAAACTGAAAATGGACTCACAGTTTATTTGCGTACCTGATAAAAGTCCTTGTCATTAGGAATATGAAGGGATGGAAATTTGTTCTTCTGCAAAAAATGTCTGCTCTCTTGGGGACAGACTTTACTCTGAGATTCAAACAAATCTCACTGATTTCAGTTTTCTCACTGTTTTTTTTCTTTGAAACTGACATGCCAACAGAGTAGAGGACAGTTTATTTCAGTTGCAAAGAACTGTATAAATTGCAATATTCCTATACTATTGACTATTTTGCATGGCGTATTTTGTATGCCATGCATCTTTCATTATCATTTATGAATACTCTTGCAACTATACAATGCAGTTTTACTACAGCAACTTTCAACTACTAGAAATTGTCTAGAAAAGGAGAATAACTAGAGCTTAACTGTAAAACAAACGTATTTCATGTGGTACTGCCTGATAAAATACATCAAGAAGTAATGCAAATAGAAAAAGCATTCTAAGCCTGGTAATTTTCATCGTAACTAAAGCTACATGGGACAAAGGCAGTCTAACAAAATRACATTTATTACTTGTCTTTAATGCTTTTATTTCAGTAGCAAAGTTGCACTACCAGCCTATACACTAAAGCTTACTGTTACTACTTCAGAATAAATATCATGCCAATTTATCTCCCAGCAGAGATACAAAAGCAAGTACAAAAAATGGGGGTCAGTTTATTTCTCTTCAAGTAAAGCCAAAAAGCAAGAAAACAAACTAAAAACTGCAGTCATCACAGAAAGCTAATTGCTTGACTAGAAAATCATAKTTCAACTCAACTGAAACAGCTATCCTGTATTTCATAGAAATGTTTATCCTTGTCTCAGAGTATAACAATGTTTTCCACCAACTGATTTAATACTGACATCCATCCATTTATCAGAACCATTTCCATTGACTCACTAACTGATTTACTCCCTTGACAGGCCCTCTGTTTCCTATTCATCACAATCATCTTGCCTTGCAATAGACTTAGACCTTTTCCAGCACCCGAGGGCAATCCATTCAGTCTAGTGCAATTACCTGCATGACATTCTGCCTCTTCACTGTTCAGAAGAAGCAAGAGAACAAGAGAAAACTCCCAAGTTAGCTACTAATTTTTTTTTTCAGTACTTGAAGGCACAATAAATCTGCAAGCCCTAATCAAGATTAAATATATTCCAAAGAACAACMAAAAACTTAAGAGTTCAATTACCCTTTGTGAAAGGGTTTAATCAGAACAATGCACAGCCCTGTGTAGATTAATATCTCCAGAACTATCTTGGTGCCACTGAGCTTCCAGAGTGCTCATAATGAATCACATGATAATACATAAATGTGCCTTTCCCCATCCCAGTTTTAAATGAGACCTCATTTTTCCTGTAGAATAGACAGTAGAAAAACTATTCAGTTCTTGACTCCCATTAGTGTTGTGTTTCCCTTCCTCTTTTAGTTTCTTATCTTCTGTGTCTTCTCAAACAGAATTTAATGGTTTATTTATATCATTATTACATATTTTTGAGGGATCATGAATATCCTCTAAGAGTGTGGCATGGAGAGTAATTGAAGATAAAGCAAGCCATTAGGTTTGCTACTCATCAAATTATTTTCACAGGTGAACATTAAAACTAATTGGTCAAGTGCATAAATGGATCACGTATGAGTTGAAATTCGTTCAATACCTCTCTTCTTCTAGAAAATCTGGACCACTATTGTGGCCTGTTTGGTTAGCAGTTGCCAGAGAAAACGACATGCTAACCTTTCCACAAAAGTGAAAGTGATGGGAGTTTGCAAATAAAACCTTTTCTTTTCAATGTGCAGTAACACAAATAYTTTTTAAAATTTACTTTTGAAGAAACACCTTGATTTAATTATTTCCAGTAAATACAAAATGAAACAGGCCCCAGACCAGAACKTCTTATAAAGATCTGGGTTCAAACTAGAGTTATCAGAAACAAATGTTCCAAATACTGCTTAAAAAACAAATYTCTTTCTTAAGGAAAAAGAAGATAAAAGATTTGAGTGATATTATTTTTTACATTGCCAACACATGCCACAAAGTACGCTTCTAAGAAGCAGAGAGCTGTCTCAACATTTGTTTTGTTTCCCTGACATGGGCAACGGGAAGATGACTTGGAAGTCATGCCACAAATTCCTAAATGCAAGTCTTTCAAGTATGAATTTCATCAGTAAGCTGTAAAGGAAATGGAGATGTGAGCTACAGGTAAGAGAAAAAAATCCTTGAAGTCTCCTCAGATTTTGTAGCAATTCCTCTGTACTCTACAAATAAGGAGAAAAACATCACCTCAGTCTTCCAAGAACTGTTTTTTAATGGGTAATTCAATTGTTAAATTCAGTAGAAGATACATTGGAACTGCAAAATGCCTTTCTGTGCTGATACTGATCTTAATGACCCCAAATGCAGTCAATTTGTATCAGTGAAACTGTGTTT